AAGGACAACGACGGATTCTTACCGGAAAAAAAAAAAACTCGATCATTTCTTCCTTCTTTAAATCTCAGAATCTTGAGTATTTTTGTATAGATCCCTTTTGTACATTGTTTGTATACATTTAAAAAACATCAAATTCGTATGTGATCGTGATCAAAGAATTAGTGGTTGATAGGTGAGTCTTGATCGGAATTGATTTACGCACTTACCGATCTGTAAACCTCTTGGTTTTTTTTTTTTACTTTGGTGAATTTTGTTTATTTTTGATCCTTGACTCTGATCTGGATTTGAAAATTTCGATTAAATTCTTTGGCGGGTCGATAAAATTTGGCAATTTTTCGAGATCTGATTTGTTTTTTAGTTTGATTGGAATTTTTGTTCTTGGAGTTGTAAGCAAATTCTGGCATTTTGAGTCTTAACTTTGTCTTGTTCAATCTTACTTATGCTTTTTCATTTTCATGATCCATTTCTCGTTTTATACATTTCTTAGATCAATGGTTTCGGATTTTGTTGTTTTGATCTGATCTAAATTGGTTTACTGATAATTCTTATGGCTACTTCCTGATCTGCCTGATTTTGTGTCCAATTTAATGTTTTGAATCATGAACGTTACAGTTCCCTGAATCTTGTACTCCTGAAATGGAGATCTTAAGGTTAATGTTTGTGCTGATTCTTCGAAGCTTTTTTTTTTTGTCTTTGTTAGTGATATGCATAGCTGAGAGATGGTGTTCAAGAGGAAGCTAGATTGTCTATCTGTTGGTTTTGATTTCCCCAATGTTCCCAGGGCTCCTCGTTCATGCAGGGTAAATTACCATGTGATTCATCGACACGTGTTAGCTCAATGTCGTCAGTTTCTCTCTGATGATTCTTGGTTGGTTTTTTTTCAGAGGAAGGTCCTAAACAAGAGGACTGATGATGCGGATCAGATTTGTGCGATTGACTTGCTCGCTCTGGCTGGAAAGCTGCTACAAGAATCCGAGAGTTCGTCAGCGTCTTCCAATGCATTTGAAGTGAATAATCACGAGGTTTTCGGTAAGGAAATTAAACAAGAACAAGAAGATAAATACAAGCCTTTCAAGTGCGAGTCTTCTGACAAAGGAAACTCTGTGTCAAGGCCTGCTTATGAAAACACTAGTGAGAAGTGTGTGGTAAACAGTTTTTCATTTCCGGATAATGACGACATTTTGGAGCGAACTCCGATGTCTGATAACAAGAAGATTCATGGGTTGACGCCTGTAGGGTGTGAAACCAAGATCGAGACTTGTGACTTTTACGTCAAATCTGGAGGCATCACTGGGGAGACAGGTGATGTTAATGTGAATACTGGGTTTCAACAAGGAGTAGCAACAGGCGGCTTGGGAGATGGAGGCTTAATCACTGATACTTGCAACGTGGAGGATGCAACTTCGTTAGGCGTTCAGTTTCCGAAATCAGTCTGTGTGGATGGTGATCTGAAATCGCCATCTTACATGGATATGACCCCTAATGATTCCTTTGCTAGACATGGGAATCATACTAACCTAGGTAGAAGAGATGATGATGAAAAATTATATAGTTACCATAAACTTAGCAATAAATTTAAGCCGTATAGGTCTCCAACAATTCGAAGAATAAGAAAGTCGTTGTCGTCGAAATACTGGAAACAAGTTCCCAAGGATATTGGACACAGTAGAGCTGGTAAGTATCACACCCTGCTTCACTAACGTTTGAACACAATTCTTCATTTTGTGATATGCACTGTTCTTACTTGGATCATGAATGTCTAGATGTTGGTGTGAAGGCACTTTATCGCAAAAGAAAATCATGTTATGGCTACAACGCATGGCAACGTGAGACCATTTATAAGAGGAGAAAATCATCTGAAAGAAGCTCGGTTGTAACTTCTGATGGAGGCCTCAGTAGTGGAAGTGTCTCCAAGTTACCCGAGAAGGGAGATGCAGGTGGTTATTGTAGTCTATATAGCACTTCAGTTTTCTTATCTTAGCTGTTGTGATCCTCATTCAAGGGGCTCCCATGGTACTTGACCGGTTGATATATACATTTAACACATTTTTATCTGGAGGCGTGGTAATTTGGTTCTCATGTATTTTTAATCTCTGGTGCAGTAAAGCTAAGCATCAAGTCCTTTAGGATTCCAGAGCTTTTTATTGAAGTTCCACAAACTGCAACAGTAGGATCACTAAAGGTGCATGGCAATGCGTATTTTCTTTCTTTCTTTCCCTAGCATTTGCTCGGTTCTCGTGTGTGGACATTGAGGTAATATGAAAAAGTCGTAATTTTTTTACTCATTTGGTTACAGAGGACGGTGATGGAGGCTGTCAGTGTTTTACTCAGCGGTGGAATACGTGTTGGAGTGTTAGTACAGGGAAAGAAGGTTAGAGATGACAGGAAAACTCTGTCACAGAGTGGGATCTCATGTGAAGAGAATCTAAGCAACCTTGGGTTCACCTTGGAGCCTGGTCCCAGCAAAGTTCATGTACCTTTGTGCTGTGAAGATCCTGTCGTGCCAACCAACCCTGCAAATTCGTCTGAACGGTACTAAGAAATTCGCTATCATGTCATTGTGCTGCGGATTTGCTTTAATCAAATATCACTGGTGTTGTTTCTTCTTGAAGATTCCTAAGCAAAGGCACTTCTTAATCATCTTCCCAGGTCTGCGGCTTCTCCCATGTTAGAGTCTGAAATTCCCCATGCAGATGATGTGATTAATCCAGGAAATATTGTGGACAATAACCTCGAGTTAGTTCCATATCAGAGTGACATGTCTGTTGATGAACCTTCATCAGATTCAAGAGCACTTGTTCCGCTTCCAGCCTTGGCCTTGGAAGTTAAGGCGCTTGACATAGCTCCGTTGAACCAGAAACCTAAGCGTACTGAGCTTGCCCAGCGCAGAACCAGGAGACCCTTCTCTGTGACAGAGGTAGAAGCTCTCGTACACGCAGTTGAGGAGCTTGGGACTGGAAGGTATATAACACTAGTTCCCCCATAAATCTTGTGATTTGGTCGTGGTCAAAACTCAAAAGCTAATGGTTGATATCACGCAGATGGCGTGATGTGAAATTGCGTGCTTTTGAGAATGCAGATCATCGAACCTATGTGGACTTGAAGGTAAACACACTAAACAGTAACTTATAGTCTGGAACATAGCACGTCTCGCAGTAGCGTAATGTTGCAAGAACATGTGATTTTGCAGGACAAATGGAAGACACTGGTTCACACTGCGAGTATATCACCGCAGCAACGAAGAGGAGAGCCGGTACCACAAGAACTCCTAGATAGAGTCTTGAGGGCATACGGGTATTGGTCACAGCGCCAAGGAAAACATCAGGCGAGAGGAGCACCCAAAGATCCAGACATGAAAAGAGGTGAAGCTCTTGGATCAGGTGTTTCAGTGTAAAAAGAATGGTAAGCATTGGTGGGTGGGTTTGTGTACAGAAGAAAACAACAATAATCGAAAACTCAGTTTCTGCTAAGATTAATTGTCTTTAATTCTCGTTTTTTCTCTCTTAATTACACTCTTTGGCATCTTGTAAATGACTCCACAACTGGGATGAGATTCGTCCCTAACAACTTTTAGGTTTTCGATCTTTGTGTTTTTTTTTCCGTTTGACATTGATTATGTTGTGCAATATGGTCGGTCCAGAAAAAAAGGATCTTGTAATTCTAGACATTCTTTTTATTGTTCTATTATATCCTTTACAACAAGAACAGCGTTCTTCGTCGTTATTTTCGTTTGAATTTTTTTTCCAATATTCGTGACATTAGTTTTAGACAAATTTATTGCTCCACTAACTTGGAATATTCAAAGCAGATCGTAGGAAAGCTTGTTTTAAAAGTAATGATCTTTCGAACACTTGCAAGTTCCTCAGACTTGATGAAAGTTGTGTTGTCATCAAAAACCCATCCTCTTCTAGTTGTAGGTTAGGGTTGATCATTGTGTGCTTAACTATGTTTCTCTTATGTATTGTAACACTCCTTAATCAATACTACAATTCCAGTGAAAAAAACACTTGCATTCCAAATTTTTTTTTAATAAAACACCGAAATATCAAAATATCAAAAAACACTTTTTTTAGGAAAGATTTTCACTTGTTTATGAAAGTGTTTAGAAAGGCCATTTAAAACAAGTGAAAATGTTTCATAAACTATTTTTTAAGAAGGTTTCTTACTTGTTTAGGAAGGTGTTTACGAACGCATTCATAAACAAGTGAAAATCCTTCCTAAACTTTTTTTTTGGAAGGTTTCCTACTTATTTAAGAAGGTATTTAGGAAGGTCATCATAAACAAGTGAAAATCCTTCCTAAAGTATTTTTTTAAAAATATTTCTACTTTTTTATGAAGGTGTTTAGGAAAACCTTCTTAAACAAGTGAAAATCTTTCCTAAATTATTTTTTAAAAAGGTTTGAAGATGTTTAGGAAATCCCTCTTAAACAAGTGAAAATCCTTCTTAAACTTATTTTTAATAAGGTTTCCTACTTGTTTAGGAAAATGTTTAGNAAGACCTTCTTAAACAAGTGAAAATCCTTTCTAATTATTTTTTAAAATAATGTTTCCTACTTGTTTAGGAAGGTGTTTATGAAGGCTTTTCTAAACAAGTGAAAATCCTTCATAAACTTTTCTTAAGAAGGTTTTCTACTTGTTTATGAAGGTGTTTAGGAAAGCAATCCTAAACAAGTGAAAATCCTTCCAAAACTTTTTTTTTTTAAATGTTTCTTATTTTTTTATGAAGGTGTTTAGGAAGGTCTTTCTAAACAAAAGAAATTCATTCCTAAACTTTTAGGAAGGTTTCCTACTTGTTTAGGAAATTGTTTAGGAAGGTCTTCCTAAACATGTGAAAATCCTTCCTAAACAAATCCTAAACTTTTTTTAAGAAGGTTTCCTACTTATTTAGGAAGGTGAAAGCCTTCTTAAACAAATGAAAATCCTTCATAAAGTTTTTTTTAAGAAGGTTTCCTATTTTTTTAAGAAGGTGTTTAGGAAGATGTTTAGGAAAGTCTTCCTAAACAAGTGAAAATCTTTCCTAAACTATTTTTTAAGAAGGTTTCATATTTGTTTAGGAAAGTCTTCCTAAACAAATTAAAATCTTGCCTGAACTTTTTTTTAGGAGGGTTTTCTACTTGTAAGAAGGTATTTAGGAAGGTCATCTTAAACAAGTGAAAATGTTTCGTAAACTATTTTTTAAGAAAGTTTCCTACTTATTTAGGAAGGTGTTTAAGAAAGTCTTCCTAAACAAGTATAAATCTTTCCTAAAAAATTTTTTTAAGAAAGTTTCCTACTTGTTTAGGAAAGTGTTTAGGAAAACCTTCCTAAACAAGTTAAAATCCTAAACTTTTTTAGGAAGGTTTCCTACTTATCAAAAACACCAAAATATCATTCACCATATTTATCAAAAACAAAAACAACCAAATCATTCTTCTTCACCTTGTGGTGGTGAATCCTTCTCGTCTTCTTTGTTCTTCCTATTAAACTAATCTTTTTCTTCATCTTTTGTGTTCCTCATAGTTAATTATGTGATTAATTCAATTGTAAACTCCGCCAACCATCCAAATACTTCAGCTTTTTCACATTAAATGTTGAACAAAACTTGCAATAGGGATGAAATATTTGGTTGGTCGGGTGGAATTTACAGCTGAAACAAAAAGAAACCTCAATACATCTTGGCAAAGAAGAAGACCGCTCCTGACAATGTGTCTAAACGTGATGGAGAGAAATGGAAAGGCAATGGTGGTGGGCCAAGTGGACTCCATTGAGGAGTTTCTTGTTAATTCTCATCCAGAGTCGGATTGTGAATTTACATTTGTGACCAAAGTTTTTTATTATTTTGAATTTTGACCCATGGTTTTCAGATGGCGGCGATTATTCAGAGATCCGGTCTGGTTCAGATCTCAAAAACCAGATTTTCTCTAATCCGATCCGGAAAGGCAATGGTGGTGGGCCAAGTGGACTCCATTGAGAAGTTTCCTGTTTTGGTATCATACATTCCATTCGTTTCAAAAATATAAAATGTTTTGAAATTTTTTCTTTGTTTTCAAATATAAGATGTTTTGACAATCCTATATATTTTTTAATTTTATCAAATGTTGTGAGACTACTAGTATTTCGTAGTCGTTTTAAGGAATGGTTAAATTATTTTGATTATATATATTAAATGATATTTTTTGAAAAAAAAAATAGTTTCTTAAACTCCGCGTTTATAGCCAAAACATCTTATATTTTGAAACGGAAAGAGTTAATTAATCGACTGGTTTATCTTTATTGAAGACAACCACCTATCATAATGGATTAGGCATCTAAAAAAATAGGC